TCATACAGAAAGCTCATCCAGTTGAAAACCCAGTCACTTACAAGGGGGTTTCAGAGTGAAAAATCATTTCCTTTCACTCTGGAGCCAGCCCCAAGAAATTTTACCCTTACTTTGCTTCCAGCTCCTTTTCTCTTCCCACAGAGCTACCTTTTATGACCTACTTAGCACAACAAAGCAACCACCTCTGTGAAGGCTACTGAAGATGACCTTTATGCCGCCAGCTCCTGGACAGGCAACTCATGGGTAACTGTCACCCTGCTGGGGCTCCCATCAAGCTCTACTCACCCGCTTCTCTCCTACTCAACTCCTTCCCCCTCGCTAGTGCGTCTCAACAGTGTCTGCCCACTCCCTCCCCTGCCCCGTCCACCCAGCAAACCAGACAGGTCTCTTCCTAGTTCCTCTAAGCTCCAAATGTCCTTCTGGGGCCCGGGACTGCTGCAACAAGGAAGCAGAATCCAAAATGTTAGAACTTACTGCTCTCGTGACAGGTGTGAGAGTATTTAAGAGCTCTCTGCTCTGGGCTCAACACTCCCACCCTGACTCTGGTTTCATCGGTTTTACTGGGCATCTGGCAAGAGCTGGGAGCCAGCCGTAGGTCTGTGCAGGGTTCAGGCTCTTACCAGGTCTGCTTCATGAGGATTTTGAAGCCATCTGGGCACGTGGAAGGGACAGGAAGGTGCAGGCTGTTACTGCCCACTCCCCAAATGATGGCCGAAGAGTCCACGTCCTTGTAGGGAATCTCTCCTGTAAGCAGCTCCCACAAAACTACCCCAAACGACCTGATGAAGAAATAAACCAGGAGAAAAACTTCTGTGTGAATTCAATTTAACAGAAAAATGTGAAGCTTGGGGGAAAAAAAAAAAAAAAATCACCCTTTTTGTCTGGTATGTCTGATCTGAAATTGCAAGTAGGTGCAACAGTATTTACATACTAGTTTTTAACCAAGAATAGCTATTTCATACACGAGGTAACCCTCCTCTGCCCCAGCACTGGGCTGAACACCAAGCCACACTGGTTTTCACCCACCCTTTCCTATTTCTTTGTGAGATTTTTAAAATCCTGAAAGCACATTAGAAGCTTTTCTGCATAGATGAAATCTTACTCTTGTTAAATGAAGAGGAAAGACAGCTTTTCTGAGATAGTAGATAATCTGTTCTTACCAATAAGAACAGCCAAAAGTCTACAGGACAGACAGAACTGGTAAGTGGCTTAGAGACAACAGAACAAAGATTGTGTTTTGTGGGGGTTTTTTTACATTTCATTTAACTTTTTTTTTCCCTCTAGCCAAAAGCTCCCTCTGCTGTTACATGTACTCCTAGGTAAGAGTTTCATCAGTTTGAGACTCATCGCTACAACTACTACAACATAGAAATGAAGAAACAAATGCAACATGCATAAGTGTCAGTATCAAAAGCACATGCAGTCTCATCTGATATTTCTTCTGTGCTGAAGAAAGGAAGGCAAAAAAAAAGAAAAAATTAATTAAGAGAACTCTGCCTGGAAAAGAACCTCCTATTACAAGAAGATATAGGTAAGAAACTCACTTCACTTCTCTTCCTTATTGAAATGATCAGTAAGGACCAAAACCTTCACTTATAACAGCAAAGTTATTTGTTTTATTTACAATCTTCACCAATAAAACACCAAAGAAATATCAAACCAGTCAATACAGAGGTAAACAAAATTCTGCTGAGAACCAACGCCACTCTTACTGCACATGAACAACCAGGCTGCGATACGAGGTGAGGTACAACCATCTCAGTTTCAAACCCAGACATATCGCCTTACTTGCATGCCCCATCCATCTGTGGAACACCAACCCTGCCAAGCTTGCTGGCAAGTCAAACCAGGTGAAAAGTGAGAAGTGTGTTTCTGGCTTGTACTGGTATCAAGTTGCTTTTATTAAGTACAGAAGAACATCTAAGGGACAAACTGCCTGGGTCTGAAAAACCAGCAGTCAGGAAACAGAACTTCATGTGAAAAACATTGCACTTTCAAAGCCCATTGGCTTCAAGTCATGTGAGTTTAAAAAAAAACAAAACAAAACAAACCCAAAACCACAAAACAAGCAGCATTTGAACATTTTTTGTCTCAAAATGTTTTTCCGTGGGCTGCAGGAAAGCAGGGATCCAGGTGGTTGGACAAACTACCAGGAAACCCCAGCTGGTTTCAGCTTCGTTATGATTAAGAACTGACAAAGGATTTTCAAGATTCCTGATAAGATTATAGATTTTTTTTTTTTTTTTTTTTTAGCATGCTGTTAAAGATGAGAGAGAGCAGACATATAAGCAGCTTAGGAACTGTTCTCATTTGTTGTCAGCATTCATGAACATCGTTTTTACTCATCTTTGGGGAGGAATGGATGTCAAGGAGGAATTTGAGCAATCACCACTGCAGCAGACTGAAGAGGAACTCGCACCAAAGGCACCTCTAGGTTTGCGCCAAAGAGCAACGTCTCTTAAGTCATTGAGCAGAGGAGTACAGGAGTGCCCACAGTCCTCAGCAGAGCTGACAGCTGTTTTTTATTGGACATGATGCTCCACACAATATTCCTGAACCTAAGCCACTCTAAAGGACAGAAAGCTGAGGGTGGAAATCCAGCGTCATTCCTCCTCATGAACCTGTGATTCACAGGGAGGAGCTCAGAAGAAAAACGGTGAGTGTATTTTCTTTCCAAAACAATCCAAGAGTTTCTCCCAGAAGAGCTGGCTATGTTATGGGCTGTAACATCCACACAAAATGAACACGCAAAACACTGCAGGCACAAGAAGAGCTGTATTACCCCACGTTACAAGACT